TGAATTACAATATGGAATTGGTGCTTAATACAGATTAGTTTTGAATATTGAACTTTATTTGTATAAAGTACATTTTTCTTAAAAGCAATAATTTTAAAGAAGATAAATTCTTAATAACTTCATAAGAGATTAAAAATCAGATGTGCCGGGTGCCATGGCACATGCCTGTAATCCCAGAGGCTTGGGAGGCTGAGACAGGAGGATCACAAGTTCAAAGCGAGCCTCAGCAACAGTGAGGTGCTAAGCAACTCAGTGAGACCCTATCTCTCTATAAAATACAAAATAGGGCTGAAAATGTGGCTCAGTGCTTGAGTATCTCTGAATTCAATCCCGGTACCAAAAAGGAAAAAAAATCAGATTTATTATTTCTACCTAAAAGCACAATTTCTACTTGCCACCAAAGAACTATAATCTCAGTAAAATGTGTAATCAACTTTTCCTCAGAAGCTATTTTTCCATCAACTTCCCATTTCAAGGCAGCACCAATGATTGTCACTTATTTTTCCTTTTAATTTCTGCTAGATTCCCTAAATCCAAGAGCAAATTATCTTTTTATGTTCTTCCCATATTCTGGAATTTACTTATGACTGCTTTTAAGGAGAGTAACATAAGTCATCATCTACTGCTGTTACTATGGAAATACTGAATATCCTTTAGTGATTGCCACATATTTGGAAGGGAGAGGGAATTGTTACATGGCACATGGAGCCTGAAGCCTTGAACTTAATATATTCCTTTCTAACCACTAACCTCATCTTCCTAAATACCTATGGATGTTATTTCTAAATTATATAATTCCTGAATTGGCATGAAATAAAATTGATGAATTTATCAAAGTTATTGTGTTATTTCAGTTGTGTTTAAAAATAAGAGGATGGGTAGGGTGTGGTGGTGCACACCTATAATCGCAGCAACTCAGGTGTCTGAGGCAGGAGGATTTAGTAAGGCCCTAAGCAACTTAGTAAAATCCTGTCTCAAAATAAAAAAAAATATCCAAAGGGCTAGGAAAATAACTCAGTGGTAAAGCACCCCTGAGTTAAATCCCTGCTGCCAAAAAGAAAAAAATAAATAAATAAGAGGATGGGGCTGAAGGTAAAGCTTAATGATAAGTCTGTTTGATTCCCAGAACTACAAAGAGAGAGAAGGAGGTCGGGGAGGAGATGGCCAAGTTATGCAATACATTGAAATAAAGGAGGAGCTTTAACCTATATTAAAAATAAAATAACTATTGCATCCTCCTTCATCTCTTACAGAAATGAAGTGATAGCAGTTATTCGTGGGAATAGAAAGGACAATGTTCTTGGTCCTTCCTGGAATGCCCTTTCTACCACACGTTACTGAGTCAGCTCATTGTTCACAGAGTTATTTAGTCCCATCACAATGACAGAAAAGTTAATAGGTCTTTATTTTTCACAAATCAGTCAAATTATAGGAATAATTCTTATTCCTATACTTCTTTGATGCCAAGATTTTAATTTTTCTTAAAACCTCGACTCTAAGGTATCTGCTATAAAAGATTTAAGTTCAGATTGTTCATTGTTTCTGGGTATCTGTGTTTTAATTCATAGATGCATTTATTCATTCATTCCTGGGTCCTCATGCACAAAAGCTTTCTTGGCATGATATACCCATTTTAACTACATATCAGAGTGTCTTCACTTGCCACTTCTTTTGATGTAGCATTGCTATACATCCTGTAACAATGTTACATCGCAAGCAATAGAAAGCAGTAAACAGAACTAAGGAAAGAAGGGATCTGGCTGTCAGTGTAAATGTAAATAGCAGCTGTTCCTCTCAAACTGGTTTTTTAAAACTACCACACGGTGAGAGCTTTGCATAAAATGGGACAGATTCTCAGGAATCAGGTTTTAGCACAAAATTCAAGAGGCATGCTGCCATCCTCCTGTTTTCACTGTTTATATATGTAATAGTCTATGTTAAAATATTATTTAAATATCTATTTCTGTGTGAATAATGCATTGTGCAGCTATACCAGCATACATGATTTTAGTATAAAGATGACATGACCAATGATGTTATTGTGTTGCAAGATACTTTTGAGTCCTAAAGTCCATGTGCAGTTATCCTCTGGCCAAGTGCTGTACTAGCATTGGCTGATGAGTTAAACTTTGACATTTTTACCTACTAATTTGAAAGCTATCAAATAACTTCCCTTTGTCATTTCTCTAGCAAAAGTGAACAAGCTATGTAGCATTGCAATGTCCTTAAAAAAAATCCTTGTGCCATTGCTTTCGCCAAATACACATTCATTTTCTTTCCTAATTAGTTAGAGTGATAAACTGTGCTGGTAATAAACACTTTAAATATATTGCTTATATTGCTTATACAGCTTTACCCAAAACTGTCATCCTCCATTAAATTAGCAACACTTATGCTAATTAACATAGAAATCCTTTCTATTTAGTTATGTCATCTTTCTATTTAAAATGGAGGGGGAAAACCAATGTTTTCTACCACATGAATATAAATATCTCAACTGAAGACCTGCCATTGCTCATTTGAAATGTTGTGGGGGGGGGACTTTTTCAACTAGTTCATAAAACATTATCTGCACTAATATGTTTACTTTGTTGTGACACTTTTATATCAAATTACAATCTTTTTCCAAGGCCTAGAATAGGGCCTTTCACATTGTAGGAATGAAAGAAATGGTTACAGCATGAATGAGTTAGTGAGAAAAGTCAATAGCAACATTAGTATCTGATGATAACAAATAAAAATTAGACTTACTTGCACAAGTGCAGCAGATAATTTTGATGTTTGGTTAATATTTGTGCACATTGAAAATTCAAATCAGGATGCTAACTAATATCTGCTTATTAGTCACAGCAGGCTAATTGTCTCAATGTTCTTTTCTGACAAATATACAAAGACCATGACCCTGCCAGTTCTTAGTTGGTCATTAGGCATAAATCGTAAAACAGAGCTGGGGGTGTCCCTGAGTGTTAGAGTACTTGCCTAGCATGTGCAAGGCCCTGGGTGTGATCCCCAGCACCACACATACACATGCATGCCCCCCGCCATGCACACATACAAATCATACCAACCAACTACTACTAAAGAGTTCTTTGTCTCTTTCTTCCATTTTCTTAGTAGATGTCAGGAAACTCTTTTGAGATAAACATTTTTATAGAAAAGACTAAAAGCAAATATCGAACCCCACTTAATGATACTCATGCAAAGTTTTTAGGAAGTTGCATATTGAGATTAATAATTTTCTCTGAAATGTACAAATTTTTATATAGATTAATGATATATGGAGATATAGAAACATGACTAGATATGTGATAAAGCAAATTTTGTGTAATGTTCAGGATAAGCATATCAGTATTCATTGTACAATTTTTAACTTTGCTATATATTTGATTTTTCATAATAAAATGTTTGGTAAAAGTTATTACATTTTTTTCTTATGAGTTTTATTTGTGACCTTTAATCTCAGCAGCTCTGGAAGCGAAGGCAGATGGTGAATTCAGCCAGTCTTAGCAACTTATTGAGACCCTGTCTCCAAATAAAAAATAAAAAAGACTGGGGATGTGGTTCAGTGGTTAAGTATGCCTGGGTTCAATCTCTGGTACCAAAAAAAAAAAAAAAGATTTTTAGTTTGTAAAAAAGCTAAGAATAATTCAAGAAAACTTGAATAATTTTAAGGGAAATTTACTCTCAGCATTATATTTTCTCTGCACTGTACCATCCTACCATATATCCCAATTTTTTACAATTGTTAATTTTTGTTGTAAAGAATAATATCTATTTGAATTCATCACTTTTTAGAGTGTTACTTTAGCCAATCATCGAAACAAGCCTCATGATTTTTGTCAAGACTGATTAGTTTTTATTTCCTTGTGGAAAAATTTGATTAACTATGTGGTTGTTGAACCACCTCCCCATGAACACCACCTGTTTCTCATTTGATGTCTCATAAATTACTTTAAAATATATTTGGTATTTATATGTCATATCTTATATATAATATCACTATAATATTAATAAATATGCATAAAGTACAGATAATGTTTTATAGGTATAATAAAAATTATCACATGCCATTCAGACTGGGTTTTTGTTGTTATTGCTACTATTATTGCTGTGACTTTGTCCTCCCATTATTCCTGCTTAGGGTTGTGCCTTGACCAAAGTTGGTGCTTAGGGTATATATAATGAAAGCTCGATAATTATTATTACTATTTTTTGTGGGATGAGGAGTGAATCCAGAGCCTTTTCTGTTCTAAAACTGAGCTACAAACCCAGCTCAAGCTTTATTTTTTAAAATAAGTTTTGTTAGATAAGATTAGAGTTGAGTGAACTTTAAAAACACTAATTGTTCTCCAGATTGACTCAATCTTACTTTTCTGGTAAAATATTTTTATCCTATCTCTTAAAAATTTACTTGGGCTTCATATTTTGTTCAAAAAAAAGTTATTTATGATTTTATTATACCTAAGAACTGTACATAGTGCTATAGTATATTGAGGCCTGGTAATGCTAGTTCTATAATCACATAATATACTATCTTTAGCAATGTAATATTATAAAATCGATATAGTTCATATCCTTTGTTCTCCAACGTGTTTCAACACTTTGAAACGTTATTTGGAATCTTTGCTCAATATGTGTGAAAAATAGCATTATATGCACAAGGAGTTTTTTTTCTTCTGGGAATTAATGTGGAGAATTTTGGATACCAATCTGGTCTGATAATCCACAGTATGAGAGGAATACAAACTCTTGGATTGTGTTTTGTTTCTTCCTCTCAATTCTCCACATAGCCCTGTTTAGTAAGTTCTGTCTCTGTTCCTCAGTTTCTCCTCATTCTTCTTCCCTGACCCCAGTAAGTCTTTTCTCTTGGATTGTTTAGAATGAATAGGAAAAATGATCCATCTGACCTCCACCAGGAGTAGAACTTGAGGTACATGTAAAGTATTACTGTTAGGAAGTTGGATATTGGTAAGAAACTGACTTATGTCGTCTGCCAACAGGGGAGGCTTTGCACTTGGCTCGGGATTTTGGCTACACATGTGAAACAGAGTTTCCAGCCAAGGCAGTGGGAGAACACCTTGCCAGACAACATATGGAACAGAAGGAACAGACAGCAAGAAAAAAGATGATCCTAGCGACCAAGTAAGCACCCTGAGGAAGCCTCTATGGACCTTCATCCTCAGTTTTTCCATTTTCTTTGAAATGAGGGAAACAGTCTAGAAAGCTCTCTAAAACAAGAGGATCTCACACTCCAGCAGCTAAATATATTAAACAAGAACACATACTAGTCTGTGACCAAGGCAAGGTCACCTACTGCCCTTGGTTAGAGATGGGGTTATCAATGAAACTGATGGAAGTTTGTAGAAAACCTCTTTAGAATGCACAGAAATTCTGAGGAAAATATGTGTAGAAAACGTAGATTCCAGGCAAAATGCTTTTGGTTGTTATATAATTGGGTCTAAAGTACTTGTGCCTTTATAACTGAAGATAGAAATCTTAAAACATGATAAATGTTTGGGGAATATGATGAAAGATGACACAGATGCAATAAGGGGTTAAGGGGAGATCTCTTAGACCAAGGATCAACATCAGTACCCCATTTTCTCTAATGAAAAATGAAGGATATTATCCCTGAAATGTCTTGCTTCCCATGGTGATATTATTTAAACAGTGGTCATAATGTATGTGAAAAATTCTGAAAATTATGAAAAGTCCAACTAAAATGCAAATTACAACAATGAAGGAAATAATACTGGCAAATGTATCAATACAATAGGAAAAGGAAGCTCCTATGACTTCTAAATTCCCTCAAACTTGAAAGTTCTTTGATAATTTGTGGGAAAAACTGCTATTTACTTGTGAAAAACCAACAAAACTATAAGTACCAATGGAAGTCATAATCAAAGATTGTAGGCATTTCTTGCTATCTTCTCTGTACTAAAATAAGTTATTGCTACACTTAAGACATTAATAAACTACACTTAAGACATTAATAGAGTATTTCCTAATCTATCTTTAGATTGTACAAGTGATAGTTCCACATGGTTCTGTCATCATTTATACATTATGTGTGGCAAGTTCTTTAAGAGAAAATATAAGGTAGATAGGATTAAAAACATTATTTCTTAGAATCTGATGTCAAAATAATTATCAAACAACTTTAAAACATGCTAACTAAATTTTACACTAGCTAAAATGTATGAAGCCAAAACAAAATATTCCCTCTTTCACCAGCTTCTAATGTAACACAGGTCTTTTTGTGAATTTAAGAGGTTATATGGGACATCTATCGTATAGACTTGCCAGAGACGCTTGAGTCCCTTACATTGTGCACTGCTTGTGACTTCTACTGTTTGTGTTTAGGCTTATATTATGCATTGCTCTTCTAAGAGTTCTAGATAATTGTTGCATCTTGTCTCAAAGAGAAGGAAATAAAAGACAGTCGCAAAAGGAGAAAAGTCAAAGTGAGATGAAGCAGAAAGGAATAGCAGAAAGAGAGCATGAAGACCAAGAAATAGAGAAAAACATGTATAAGGAAGGTATAAAATTTGGACTTAAAATTTGTGGATAAATATTGTGCTATGCAAACATATGAAATCCTGCTAGGGGGAAGACCTAAATCTAGTATTTTTGCATAGTTTAATTTTCTTGGAGCTCTTTGCTTCTACTTTTCTTGAACTCTTTTCTTCTTTCAAATAGTTTCTTGCTTCACTAGATCTCCATCTGTCATGTTTCGTTTTTTCCAGAAGGAATTGAAAATACATGTAGTCGCTTAGTTTGAATAATTAATGAATTTCGGGAAAAAAAGGTGAATATTTGTTACAGATCCAGAGAATTATATAGTATTAAATGTTAGGTAGTAACTCCAGGTGTTACCAAAGCATAATGTCATTCTAGCTGGCAGCATCAAGCAGAGTTCCTTTATACAAACACCTATAACATTGAGTGATACTGTTATCCCCCAAAACAAATTATCCAAGGAAAAAATGTGTTGGATGTTTTCTATCTTGAAGTTTCCTGGTTGTGGTTTCACCAACCATATTCTAAGACTCACCAATCCAAAGAAACTCTTCTTCATGTCCTCCTTCCCCCAGGAACAATTTCCCCCAGTTCTGTGAATACTCATGTCTACCACCTCAACATTCTAAAACACAAGTTCCTATTTTCACAGGTGTTCCCTTTAGTCTGCTGAAGTGTTTTGGAATCTCTGGGTACATCCAAATTGATGAGATTTTGTTTTCACAGAAAACATAAATACTTTCAGATTTGTCAAAATAATACTGAGACATCTGTTTTAGTGTAATGGATTCCACGAGGCAGAAGAATTTTTCCTTTAGCCTGGAATGTAAGCAGTATATATTATTTAGGTTATTATTTTTAACTTTGATTTAAAAAAAACCATTTGGAGAAAATGTAATTTTCTTTTATTCCTCTGTACATAGTTAGACATTTGCATTTATATTCTTTTGGTTCCTCTTTACGTAGTTAGACATTTGCAGATCATTAAATGTCAAGCAAGAATTGAGATCATGATTCCAATTAAGTTAATTTACAGATGAACAAATAGGTCCTAATCTTCTAGAAATTAAGATACAATCTTCATAATTTTTGTCATTTTGTTATTAATGTGTATCCCATCTTATTGGTCAAAATCAAATAAAAATTAAAGTCAAAAACTATGTAGTCATTGCTAATACAATACAACCAGTTATCAACATAAGTAGATAAAGTATTATGGGACTAAAATGACCTTTTTTGCAACATATGAACAGACCCAACATGTGTTTCCAGCAGTTCTAATTTTCTATCAATGGCAAAGCATTGGGTATTTTTATGAATTAAGTGTAAAAATTGGCATTAAGTGTCCTACATAGATATTCATGTAATTCTAGTCAGCCCACCTTTGTTCATAAGACTTCCACAAACCTAGTGATTGGTGTACAGCACTGTTTAACTTGTGTGAAGCCCTGGGTGTAATCTCCCCCCCAAAAAAGACTTCATCAAAAATATATATAAAATCCAAAATGCACTGGATGAGAAATCTAATCACTGATCTTCATTGTCAGATTGGCTTACATGTTTATTTCTTACCTCAGTGAATAAAAATAAAATATTCAGTTTTAATAAGAAAAATATAAAAGAATTATTTTATTTAATTAAGTATACAATCATATAAAGTATATAATAATATAAAGGGCCTATTAAGTACCATTAGTTTTTTAATTTTTTTTAATTCTAGAGTTTTATTGATTAACCAAATATTTTTGTACAATTTAAACAATTACATAGGTAGAAAGATAGAAATGTACCAGGGGAAATATTTGTTTATTTGGTTAATAGAAAACACATGTAAACCTTTTCATTGAATTTAGGGAATAAATATGTTTAAAATTTGACCTATATTAAGCAAAGCAGAAGTTAATAATTATAAATTGTTACCATAACAGTAATTTTTAATAGGAGAAGTATGGAATTTTAAATCCAGAAATCAGCCAAAAACATTACTTCCTTCAGGACAATGACGTAAGTGACAAATTTAGAATGTATGATTCACCAAAAGTCACCTTGTGTTACATGATTCATAATATGACATTTTGTTCTGAGGCATAAGAATATTTCCTATTGTAGCTGCATAAATAAAAAATGTAAATGAGAATGAAGCTAGTCATAAAATTAATAATTCTATAACAGTCATAATGAGATGATGGTGATAATTGACTTGGGGAATTTTTTTTTTTTTTTTTTTTACTATGGGGAATTTGTATGATTGTTTCTGCACTTAAGTCTAGAAGTCATCCTAAGTCCATCCTTTAAGCAATAAAATTAAATATCAAAAGTTGTGAATCTTAGGGCTGCAGATATATATGTCATATATATATATATATATATATATATATATATATATATATATATATATATATATATATACAGATATAGCTCAGTTGATAGAGTGCTTGCCTCACATGCACAAGGCCCTGGATTGAATCTGCCCCCATTCAGCACACACAAAAAGCTGTGAATTCTAGTACTGTGCCTGTTAGAGCTTCATGTGTGGTGCAATTGAATTATTCAGCATGCGTTAAATAATTCCACACTTTTCCTTTTCCTTATTGCTTCATCAGTGTTATTATAGTTTGCTGTGTAGCTTGCCAAAGTTGATTTGACAGTCTATAAATTAATTTATTCAAGTACCATACCACAAAAGCTAAAGCAATGTTTTGATCTTTAATGTTTTAAAAATTTATTTCAATCTGAGGAAAAATTAAAAGACTGGTCTTAGCTCCAATCTTTCTTTCTGAGAACAAATCATAATGATGGGCTATTATACAAGAATTCATATTGCTAGTCATAAAAATGATAGCATGAGGCTATATTAAAATTATACTTAGAAATTTCCTTGAAAGAAAGATTACAGTGTATCTAATTCTTAAATAACACAAAATGCAGATGACAATGCCCCCACAAAATAGTGTCAAATACTTAGGTACTTCAGCAGAAGAACCCTTCTTCATTCAGTTATTAAAACGTATTAAAACACACCTGAAAATTAGCCAGCTGAGTTTCACCTGGAACAGAAGACAGAGGAATTCAGAGCTAATATTCTCAATGAAAGTAGACACAAGTTAAAAGCATGCATTTAGGAACTGAATCTCAGAGACTAATCCAAAACATTACTGGAGGATATGGAGGGTTGTATTTTATTCAAGATGATAGGGACTATATTTTTTCCTATTGTCTTTTACTTCTTTTACTTCCAACTGTCTTTTACTTCCATCTGTGTTTTTTTTTTTTTATTGGTTGTTCAAAACATTACAAAGCTCATGACATATCATCTTTCATACATTTGATTCAAGTGAGTTATGAACTCCCATTTTTACCCCAAATACAAATTGCAGAATCACATCAGTTACACATTCACATGTTTACATAATGCCATATTTGTGACTGTTGTATTCTGCTGCCTTTCCTATCCCCTACTATCCCCCCTCCCTTCCCATCTGTGTTTTGTAAAAATGAATAGGGTAAGTTCTGTGAAATGACACAATATCTGAGCAGTGTCAGTAAACCAGAGGCACATTGTTCACAGAAAAAGATCACAAATGATCTTTGGCAGAATTCAATAACTTTTAGATATCTATAATAAATAAGTCTCCATTGATTAAACTCCATCATAAATTGTTTGTACTTCAAGGTAGTTGGTCATTTTTAGTAGTTATTTTGTTAGTGGCACAAAAAGGCTTATTAGCAGGATTGTGGCTGTGCCTATATTCACCTGGGACAATTTGACCCTTCTGTACTTTTTGATAATTAAAGTCAAGGCCACATTATTATATTTTATAATGAACCACTGCAAAAACTGACCAAAAAAGGAAAAAAAAATCACTATGAAACATCTCAAATATGGAGTGGAGTTACCATAGATAATAGATGTTTTTGAGTAATTCCTGACAGTCCTTAAATTCACTCTCTAGCTGCTGCATTAATTTGGTGTTTTATTGTTTTAAAAAATCTTGTTTCTTCTATATATTCTGCTTCTTTATAATTATGCCATTTGGATTATATGTCACAAGGACTTTACTATTATCCAACATACTCAGCAATACTATTAGCTAAAGTAAAACTAGTGACCAGGAATCATAATTATTAAAAGCAAGAAAAGCAGCTGGAAAATGTCCTACAGGGTACATTTTGGAAAAAAAAATCAGCTTACACAGAGTATAGTATTACCATATTTTTGAAGGTAGTGGACTAAACTCTGGCTAACGGATTATCTATTTCAAATATTAAAATACAAAATTAATCCAGAAGAGTCTGAATTATAATGCAATACTGGGAAAAAGGATTTTCCAAAGTCTACTTGAATTATGGCTCTGAATGAAGGCCATAACCTTAATTAAATTTTTTTACACATATGATGTCCTAAAAAATACCACATTTTAATATTTTAACGGGCAATTATTAGATGTGATCCTTTCTTATGAATTGTCTTTCATCCTGATATTAATCTATCAATATTCACTTTAAAAATTAACATTGGTTTGTCAGTACCTAGGGACTATTATTTGGTTGAAATCTTTTAAGACAGTGTTTTGAGAAGCTGAGGCAGGAAGATGACAAGATTGAAGCCAACCTCAACAACTTAGGGAGGCCCCTAAACAACTTAGCAAGATTGTCTCAGAAAAAAGAAAATGAAAAGGGATGTAGTTCAGTGGTGAAGAATCCCTGGATTAAATCCCCAGTCTAAAAAGAAAAGAAAAGAAGGCAAAAAGAAATATTTTGTGATCATTACAAAGTGACTATTAATAACCTCAGCTGTATGCTGTGGATGGAACAACAGAGACTGCTATATGAAATTTTTCTTGTCCTTTTTTAAAAATGGAACAACACTTGGTAAAATATGAACGAAATTAAAGCCCCATTTTAAGAGTTCAGTTCAATTTTCTATCTTTTGTTTTAGACAAATTTGTAAAGAATTTCAAGATCTCCTGAGCCAAGATCGATCACCACTGGGATCCTCTCGACCTACTCCAATTTTAGACCTTGACATCCAGAGACACTTAACACATTTCAGGTAAGATGGGTTTTCCCATTTGCTCAATTGCCTTTGAAGTTGTTAAATCATCTTTACTAACCCAGATCTTTGCATTCCTTTAACACTTCTATTTAGAGATATCACTTACACATTAAAATGGTGACTCTACTCTAGTCTCTTCTTGCTGCTGTGACAAAATATCTTGGCCTGGATAATTTACAAGTGAGACATTTACTGCTCACAGTTCTGGGAGGCTAGGAAGTCCAAGGTCGGGTGCCCCCAGATTCAGTATCTGGTGAGAGCTCACCCTCTGTTCAGAGGTGGCACCTTCAACATCATGTGATGAAAGGGACATATTAGGTCCCTTGGGGCTATTTTTAAAAAGGTACTAATCCCATCCCTCATGACCTAAGCACATCCTAAAGACCCCACCTCTCATGACTATTGCACTGGGGATCAAGTTTCAACATACAAATCTGGGGAAAGGGCACAAACATTCAGACCATAGCAGGAACTGAATTTTTAAAAATCCCAGTATGTTAAGATAAAATTGAAAAACAACTAGTGCATGAAGCATTTTAGATCAGAAAATTTAGTATATTTATGTTCGTATCAAGAAATCGTGATTTTTATGAGTGAACACTATTCTTTTAAGTAATACTGAGTAGTTTGGGATCAGGATTCTGAAATCTTTTAAATAGTTCCTTATCTTGGTGAAGCAAATTCTTGAATGAAAAGAAGATCTGACCGAAGTAAATGGGATATCCTTGCCTGATTTCCCAGGAGTATGTTAATAAATTCTACCTTCATTAGACCACACAGAAACCTGAAATGTATTATTTTTTATATATTTTCTAGTTGTAGATGGACACAATTTATTCCTTCCTTCCTTCCCTCCCTCCCTCCCTCCCTCCCTCCCTCCCTCCTTTCTCTCTCTCTCTCTCTCTCTCTCTCTCTTTCTTTCTTTCTTTCCATGTGGTGCTGAGGCTCGAACCCAGTGCCTCCTGCGTGCATGGCAAGCGCTCTACCACTGAGCCCCAGCCCCTGAAATGCATTATTAAAAGCACATTTTAAGTCTCATTTTCCAAAACATTTTAGAAATCCATAGAATAATTTTTTTTCTGGTAAATTTACACCCTAACTTCAGTATCAGAAAGAAGATAGCAGTTATTCACATGTCTTCCAGAATTTTTTTTTTTTTTTTTAGTACTGGGGATTGAACTCAGCTGCATAACACTGAGGCCTTTGAGTCCTTTTAAAATGTTTGTTGTTGTTATTTTGAGACAATGTCTTAGTAAGTTGCCTAGGGTGGCTTTGAACTTATAATCCTTCTGCCTCAGCCTCCCAAGTTGCTGGGATTCCAGTGTGTAGCACCTTGCCGGGCACCCTACAATTTTTAAACTAGCATACTAATGCCTACATGTCTTTAGTATCAAATATTTTGTTATTTAGTTATCATTTTATAGGAAAAAAACAATGCTAAGAAAAGACTGGCATACATTAAAATTTAAAAATGCTTTCACTGTCTGACAAAATTTTATAGCTATTGAGCAAGGCATTCCATTATATGAAGTAATGGATGTTTAAATAAGTTGGAATTTAGTTTGCAAAATCAGAGATGTTTAAATAGAATATTTATTTTCCAATGTGTCACATGTCTCCTCAAGAGATGTAATAAACACATCCCTGCAGCCTCAACTTGGTATACATCTTCAAAAAATGCACCAAAGGTAGGATATATTTCATAGAACTTTTTCTGTGGCTCACTTGAGATAGTAAAGGCAAATGTAAAAATGTAATAATATTGGAAACAAAAGGTTTTGAAGTCAAGAGAACCATTTTCAAATCCAGGCCTTTTGGCCTGTGCACTATAATGTTTGGAGTGTCTTAGCAGTCTCTGAAGCCTTTATTTCCCTAGCTTGAAAATGGTGTAATAACCCCTTCATCACATACTGGTAGTGATCTAAAATGAGATAAAGAATGTAAGGTAAGCATTTAATAAATGATGTATCATTTTCCTTCCCCACTGTTTCAAGTTCAAAAGGTATCAACTCCACTGGCATAGCTACAAAAATATTTACCATATTTTTGTGTCCACACTAAAAGTACTTGTAATTTTGACTGAAGTGGCTTTAAAATTTAAAGTCTTTTAAGTTACCCAGTTTACTTTGAAGAGGAATTTACTGTTGAAATGCAGAGGATTGGGACTCATAGATGCTGAAGATTTCATTGTGAAGTGAGCTGTCCTTTTCTGGCTCAAAACAAAATAGAGCTTCAACATGTAAATTGGACTTTAGCTACTGTGTGAAACAGGCAAACAATTCGCTTGCTCAGCACAGGTACAACCTGCTAATTTGTTGATACAAGTTAATTGCCAACTTAATGCCACAGAACTCTTTAAAGAAAATTTTCACTTCTAAATATGAAGCCCACATTTCCTACAAGGGCATTATAAGCTCTTTACTTTCTCAAACAAAATATGGTAACAAGTTGGTATTCTGCAGAAAAGAACTAAATATATAGTCAAAATGGGAGGGAAACTATATTTGATATATAAAATTCTCAATATTATATATGGCTAGAGATTCCCAATCACACTTTGAAATATAAAACTGTATTTTAAATGTTCTAATACTACATTGTATATTCACTTACAACAAATTATATAGTAATTAATACAAAGAATAATTAATTGTAATTTTCCAGTAGTAGTTATAAATTTTGATATTTACATGGTGAACACTTTGAATATCAGAAAGTTACAATTTCCCATTTATTATGCTTTTTAAATGTTTACCAGAATTTTTAGATTCTTTTTCTTTACACTCTAGATTATTTATTTAGATGAAATCTGAAATCATGATGGAAAGTAGGAGGATTCTAGAAATCACTTATCCAATTTTTACCTCATAGCAAATTTCCTAAACTACATCTTCTCCTAAATTATAATTTAAAAATACACTTAACATAAAATTTGCCATCTTAATCATTTCTAAGTGTACAATTCAGCATATTTGCATTGTTGTACAATCTCCAGTAGATCTTCACTTGCAAAACTGAAACTTTATACTCATTGAACAATCACTTTCCATTTCCCTCTCTCCTCAACCCCTGGGAACTACCATTCTTTCCATTTCTATGGAATTGATTACTCAAAGTATCTCATACAAGTAGAATCATATGATATTTGTCTTTTTGTCACTAGTTTCTTTAATGAAGCATAATTTTTTAAAGGTTCCTCCATGTTGTAGCATGTGTCCAAATTTCATTCCTTGTAAGGCTACCTAATATTCTGTTACACACACACACACACACACACACACAACATCTACTTTATTCTTTCATTCATTGATAGAAACCACAGGTAATTCTCTTTTTCCTTTTTTGAGGAACTGCCATGTTGTTTTTTCGAAACAGCTGCATCATTTTACATTCCCAACAGTGTGCAAGGGTTCCCATTTCTCCACGTCTTCACCAACACTTGCATGTACTTTTTAAAAAGAGTAGCTATCTTAATAGCTACTATTTCATTATGGTTTCAATTTGCATTTCCCTAATATTAGTAATTATGAATACCTTTCATAAACCTACTAGTAATTTTTACATCATCCTTGGGAAATAACTATTCAAATTCTCTCCCTATTTTTAAATAGGGTATTTGGTTTTATGTTGTTGAAATGTAGGCATTCTCTACATATTCTGGATATTTTTCATTTATCAGACAAATAATCTGAAAACATTTTTCCCTTGCATAGATTGCCTTTTCAATATACTAATTGTGTCTTTGGATGCAGTTTCAAATTTTGTTACAATCTAATTTGTATATTTTTTCTTTTATTGCCTGTGTTTTAGGTGTCACAGCCAGGAAATATATATAGTTGTTGATGGACCTTTATTGTATTTATTTGTATTTAGTGCTGAGAATCATCAAACCCAGTGCCTCACACTTGCTAGGCAAGCGGTCTGCCACTGAGCCACAACCCCAGCCCTTAGCCAGGAAATTCTTAACCAATGCAATGTCTTAAAGATTTCCCCTATGTTTTCTTCTAAGAGTTTTATAGTTTTTAAGTCTTACAGTTAGGTTTTTGATCTATTTTGAACAAATTTTTATATATGATAAAGTAAGAATCCAAGTTTATTCTTTTACATGTCTTAAATAATATCCTTTTAAACAAAAGATTTATAGTCGACATTTCCAATTAAAATCTGAAATGAAAACTGACCCAGTTTTAATTGAATTTAAGTAATACAATTTTTTTTTCTGTGCATTCATTTAAAGGGACAACAATAAATAACAAGAGGTTAGTAAGTGAGTTTATTGCCTGGTCTTGAAACAGACTCTGTACTTCAAAAGTGTAGTTTTTAAAAATTGGTCCTCACAGCAAAATACTTCTTGGAACTCTTTAAAATTCTGAAGGACCAGAGTATATATTTAAAGATCTGATACAATAGGACTAAGATTGAACTTGAACATCTAATGTTATTTTCAACATTGAATTGTTTCTTATAGTTAAGCAGACTTACGAACTAAGGTCTTAAGGTATTCCTAAACTATTTGCATTTTTTTCTTTTTAAGAAATGTAATTATAATTCATTTTTAAGGAGACAATGAAGATTTTGTAAAGCTCTATCTTATACATTAAAGTATTAAAAAGATTCTATATCTATGATTCTGCTAATAATCTGGTTAAAAGTGTTTTTACACTGAGTGTGACTCTTTTAGAGTCTTCTGTTGACAGTGGTAGATGTAATTTGATAGAACCATAAGCTCACAAAAAAAGATTAATTAGAAAGGAAGCATAGTTCATGTGACTTTGAAAGCAGGCTATTGGCAGAGTCTGATTTTCTATTGTTTTTGCTGAATGTTGGCTGGAAAAGAAGTGAAGGGGAAATGTGAATAGATAGGCATGGGGTATTCTCTAATTAGTAATACCAACTTGTGTTGCTGTTTTGTTTCATCAAACTCTTCTTCCCACTGTAGAGCACTTGAAATTATACCTCATAGAATTGTCAATTTGGTACCTTGAGAAATGTGGCTT